AGTACTTTGAGGTTGCGGGAAGGTAAGTAGTTACATTTTTATTCAAAGGTCTGTCTTTTTTTATTGGTAATTCTTATACTTTGGAAAATAAGTGTGGCATTAAAGCTGCCTAATATTTAATGTATTTTATTTGAATTTTCATAATGATAAAAGGCACATACGTTTTAATAATACTTTTAAAAACAAATTCAACCTCAGACAACTGCTGACTGCTATACAACTTTCACATGATCAAATGTAGTTATTGTTGCTGTATATCTGAGACATAGTACATGGAAAATCAGCTGTTTTTGTTCCTTTTGTTACAGTCAATGGCACAATCTTCAGTAATGTTACCAAAGCACTGAGAAAACAAAGAAGTGGAAAACGGCCACGGATCCCAGACACCACCCGCACCAACACGGACCCCACTCTGCCTGTGGATTTGTCATCAGTGAATCACAAGAAAGTGCCTCACATAAATAATGCATGTGCTCAGTCTTCAGCTGGAGTTTCAGTGTTCTTATCTGACTCAAAATACACATAACCCCACCACTCATACTGATTCACAGGTCGCTCTTTTTCTCTAAATGCTTACCAGAGAATTTTGCCCCTTTCCGTCAGTCCCACCACATGTTTAGGTCCAAACATTAACACCGAAGTCTTCTTAGGATTAGACTAGATATTATTTTTTGTGGATTTATATTTTTTGTGATCCGTTAAAATTTTTATATTTGTTGCCTGTAAACCATTAGTGTCTTTATTGCTATTAGTTGAGGATATAATAAAAAAAGGCTTTGCAAGTTTAGCACATGAATGCTTTGTTATTGCCTCTGTTACAACTAACATACGTTTCTGATGACCCTAAAAGCAAACTTCAGCAATATTGAGTTAAAAATATTTGTCATTAACGCTGGCAGTGTTTCTATTTTTGCTTATTGGGCACATTTCACATCCTTTTTATTTGCTCTTAACATTTTATGAATCAAAACCCAACAGTATTCAATTTGTATGTAGGACAGGATTTGCACTGTACATGTAAACTGTTTTCCTAAATCACTTATTAACAGTATTGAGAAACACTGACGGAGGTGAAAGACACTTTGGCAAACCTAAAATATTTGATATACTGTAATCGTCATTTAATTAAATTAGCATTTTAGTAGGAGTGCTTGGCTTTCTGTTGTGTTTGCTGCACTTGAACCTCATCATGCTACACAGTACCTAAAAATATTTGATCTTTTGTATTTGTTTTGTTGCCTTGTCTCAACAATATAAATGCATTATGCAGCATGAATTCACTCAATAAAAAAAGATTTGAGTTCATGTTTTTAAGTTGTTAGTAAAACATAAACAACTTGCAACTTGAACTAATTAAAATGTATGTTATCATTTGTATATCCTTTAGATTCAAAGGTTGTATTAGCACATACTCATACATATGTCTAATGAAAGACAAAAAAAATCATTTAAAGAATAAAGTAATAGTGCATTTATATGAATTTGGAGTTTATATTTGAATTTCTGGTCTTGAAGCATGTAGGAAATAAGTTTGCCAGTGATTTCATTGAATAAGTTAAAACAGCTGTTTGACATATGAATTTTAGTTGCGATAAAAACTGTTAGCCATGGTAATGTTAAAATATCAGACCCATGAGGCTGTATATTTCAAATCCATTTAAGACACAAAACAACAGTTATTTATGCCCCAAGTGCTTTTGGGGACTTTTCTCTGTACTGTCAAACATCCCTTAAGATTCATAAAGCCTATGGCTTAAACTAAATAGGCTAATGTTTAACTCCCAAGAACGTCGATGCATATCCTATTTTTATGAATCATGTTTGTGTATTCATAATAATCCCACCCTATTCTTCTGTTTATCTTCCTACTGCAACAGCAATGCGTTATATGGTACTTACTACTTCAACCCATTCAGTGTGCAACAATAACCTGACATTTATACAGAGATGTAATTTTATACAGAATTATTCTACACAAAACTTCTCTCCAATACAGCCGATAGATTAAAATAATTAAAATGAGTACATGCATGTTTTAGTGCCATCTGAACTGAAAAGTCCACTCAAAGGTTTCACTGAAAATAAATAAATAATAATTACATCAGCCTTGTGTTAAGCTGAACATGAGCAGGATCCTGCAGCATATTTCAGTCCTGTCAAACATTTGATCTGTCCCTGTCAATAGGTGTTTCTTTAAAAAAAAAACGTTTTAATAAGCTAACAAACATAATAAGCTAACTGACAAAGTTTAAATATTTGCCCTGGGGTCATATTTGTGCTAGTTTGGGCAATTATAGTCTTCAAACAATGTTAAACTCCCAACTGAATTCAAATTCAAATCCATCACTTCATTCTTTGTTTTAATTCTCTGGTACCTATCAATAATCCATCAATCAGGCAATTGGTGAAGCCCAACAATATTATTTTTGCTTCTAATCTTCAAACAAATGTTACATTTGAATAAATTGCATAATATCTGAGATCTGAATATGATTTATACAAACAGGAAACGGGACTCTGCAGAATAAAGATAATGCTTAAAGAAGAGTGCATCAGTTAGACACTAATGTTCAAAAGTGCAAAATATTTTAAATGGCTTCTCTGTTATTTGGTTAAATATATTTGACACGGAAGTGGTATTTAAAATACCGCAATTTCATTAAGTTTATGAATTAAAACAACACTAATAACCCATGCAACACACTGAACAAATCCTATAGTAAAACTGTACATGATAAAAGTGGGGTTCCTTATAGGCCTATTGTGGTTTTTAAATGATACAACGGAAGTTAAACATTGCAACAAATTGTATTAAGGTCGCTTTAAACTGCGGTACTAAATAACCCGAATATCCTCGCTTTAGATCACTATAACACCATAACATCATATCCTCGCGTTATTTGTCCTAACAGCGACCCTGTGTCCTAATAGATAACCCTGATTTCGTTAAAAATAAAATAATGATGCATGTTCAACACAAAACCGACTAATAAATAAAAACACATTTTACAGCATAACTGTGTGCATAATTTAAACTGCAGGCCTCTTTAGGCCCCGTTTCTCAGAGCTCCGAGTCCCCATTCAGAAACCAAGCAGCAGGAAACACGATCACAGCGTCACAAGAGTACAGCCTAATTTATACACTCCAGAAAGTCAACCACGTATCTGTGGCCGTTGTCTCGGGCTAAATCTATAGGCAGACAGTTTGTATTGTCCCTGGCCTGCGGGTCAGCCTTGTATCGCACCAGCAGCCGCACAGTGTCCAGAAAGCCCGTCCTGGCCGCGTCGTGCAGCGGGGTGGTCCCGGTGCTGGGGTCCGCCACGTTGGGATCCGCTCCGTGCTCCAGTAACACCTGAGCCACCGGCGTGCTCCCCATCATCATCACCTTCATGAGAATATAACCGAGAGTCAGAATCAAATTGAATTTGATTACGCCTGTAAAAAGGCATGAGCCTTTTTATTAATCATTTATATAACTAACTAAGAGAGGGGGTTGACCTGCATTTTAATAACACCGCACTGGCTATATAATTACTTTATTGTGCACTATATATTTTTATCAGTGCTAATACGTGAGCCAAATCACATTCCACGGACTGGAACTGGCGCTCGGGATAATAAACTTAGATATAAGATTATATGAAACAGGGCAACTTCGCCTATTGTCCCACAAAGACTACAATTTACTTTATCTGATCTGGACATTTTGGAGTGGAAATGGGAAAATGATGAGCCACTGTAAGGATTACTATTCCACTTTATAACGCACCAAAACAATGCCATTTAGACATTTAGAGGCTCCTTACAAATTTTAGTTTCGTTTTCTTTATAATCTTAAAGAGAAATTATATGATTTTAAACTGACTTCAGAGGGAAGGCAAGTTGTGTGTGTTTTTCTCTACAGTGCCTGCAAGCTATAAGTGATGATATAAAGTCTGTATGTTGAGATGCGTCAACCTCTCAAAGATTATTAAACTATAGATTAACGTGTGTTTAAGGATTATGCACTATAGGCAACACTGGCTATCAATGGAAACTGTTATAATGTATCTGTTGCTGTAATAAACTATATTTACGATTAGAAACCCAACATGGATGATGTGGGTGTGTGTGTGTGTGTGTGTGTGTGTTATGAGGACGTGGAAGCGTTATTATGAAGCAGAATATTTTCTACTTTTCATGCAACCTAACGCCGGGTTTATTCTCACACACACACACTATTTAAATGTGTCGTTTTAAGCCCGATTAAAAACAATGCAGAGAGAAAATGGCTCATCCAAACTTAACAACATTTAATGTGTCTGTTGCGACCCGCACAGCCATCGAAACGCTCCATTCAAACTGAGAAATGTCACTGCCTCCACTGCATATAGTGTTTTATTAAAAAACAAGCAGACGTTTGATCCCTATACAGCCCACACTCACGGGAATGCGCGTCATTTTTTTTTCTTTTCTTTTTGGAGGTGCGTTTTTCGATAAGTAACCGCAAAATAAAAAAATATCTCCTAATATCCTGGTTGGAAAATATCTCCGCTCCAACAGGCTCTACTGGCTGTCATTTAGAGAGGTGAATGGTGTTAACTCTGTTCGTGTAAAAACACATTTAAGTGCAGAAAACGGACTGCCCGAGTCGCATCTGGTCACACACTGACCTGTATAGCGCTTCGTCCAAAACAGTTCCCCCCGTTAACTTCGGCTCCGGCCTGCAGGAGACTCTTCACGCCGGCCGTGTGTCCCTTCGCTGCGGCTGCTGTCAGATCATCCTCGAGAGTCATCGCTGTGTCCGCGGTTCCTGCAGCGATAACCTCCGTGACAGACGGCTGTGACAGGTAGTCCTGATGATGCCTATTTGAGGAACGAGAAAAACAGCCCGGATAAACGCACCGGAGAAGCGCGTGTGGAGTGATTACAGTCTTCAACCGTACGGAAGCTCGTCAGTTCGGCCGGGCCCCCGGTTGTCCGGTAAGTGAGCCGCACATCGTCTGTCCAGCGATCGGTTTGGCTTGTGCGTGTGTGTGTGTGTGTGTGTGCGTCTGTTGGTGTGTGCCTGGACTTGTCTGGTGGGTGACGTCATTGCTGCAGTGGCGCGATCGTGCGCATGCGCTGCTGCCGCTATACGGGTTTTGACAGCAGAAGCGCCGGAGTTTTCTTCCTCCTGTCCCTCTCTCAGTGTTACTGTGAGAAGATGGGAACCGATTCCTCCCGATAAATGTGACAAAATCCCATCTAAATCAAAATCGGCTTGTTTTTTTTTTGTTTTTTTAGCTACTAGAAAAACCCATGTATTTATTGATGCCGCAATTAATGTTGAGTCTTTAAGTTCAATCTTTACACTGGAAACAGAAGTTGATTAAACTGTTTCACCTAAGAAGCTCTGGAGTTTTTAATCATACCACAGAGATGGAGATTGCACAGTTGTCATGGAACAGATTCAGCTCAAATTGAAATTTGTTTTCACTTCCATGGCAATTGAGCATACTCCCATCAGCTGATAAAGATCATGTGATATGTTCAAAAGGCCTAGAACAGCTAATAAGTGGACCCTGGTGTGAGAGTTTGCCAACTGTAACTGTAATTGGTTTGTAAAGTCAATGAAGTGTGGTAAACTGTCAAGGGACCAGTGGGCCTTACTGATTCTTTACTTTAATTTTTTACAGCAGCTGAATGAAAGCACAGACTAATAACTATTGTCAGTCAGAAGTCTTAAAGTTGAAACCTGTGGTCTATAATCTGAGTAAGTAAGAACTGTTGACTGTGAACATTGATGACGTACTGTTGTCGTTAAAGTTGAGTCAGACTCTTTCTGTCACCTCTATTTTTTGCAGAACTAATATCTGACTGAACATGTCCTTAAGTGTTTTTTTATTGCTCAAATATTACACAGTCCCAGGTTTCCTGTGTGGTAGTCTGATTAAAAAACGTCTGCTCTAAAATACCTGAAATATACAACAGCAAACAAAATTCTGAAAAAATATGACTGCGATGCAACTTTTTTAGGTCATCTATGACAGACTGAAAAAAAGTGGGTCAGTTTTTGCTGAGTCGACTAAAATAGATTATTAAAAGGGTGCGGTTTATGACAGTTGTGTTATGTGAACAGAGTCGTGAACCAAATGCATCATTTCAATAGAGGCCTTTCACAAAATGAATGGAATGCCTATCTGTCTCCACAATGGGACAGACAGCAGCTATTGTGTGTGAATCAATGGTTGCTGTATTCCTTGATTTCTAAGAAATATAGGAACAAAAGTAATAAACGTGTGTTTTAATAAGAAACTGTTAACAAGTCATACTGAAACTGTAGCGTCATGCTTAATTAACCTGCTTAATTATTGCAAATCAGGAAATTTATTTTGAAGGTGATTCGTGATTGAATTACACATGGCCATGATGTAGGAGAGAGAACCACACAAACACCTCTGTCAGGGCCTCTGTTAGGATCGTGACCTATAATTGATCAGTAAATGGAATGTGTGTAGTGTGAGGTGAGGATGGATAGACTGATTGTTTGTCATAGGTGGAATAATGGTTGCATCTGTATCAAAATAAAACACATCAAGTTTGCCATCAGATTGAATGGGCGGTGACACTGAGGAGGTTTTAGTCTTGAAATGTGATTCATAGCAACAGCTTTTAAACGGGATTAAAACATAGTTTGGGATTAATTTCAGACAAATATGCCAGTACAGTTAGTTCATTCAAAACTGTAGCCTGTATGAACTTGGCTAGTGTGGTGTCTGCTGCTGTCAAGTCTCAGGTCATTTATCATCTTTTTTTTGTCATTACAATGTGAAACAAAACGTACAACAAGCTGACTCTTTAGTTAGTCAGCTTGTCTAGTCTATAGTTTCTTAGAAATAGGCCAAATTTAGCAGCTGTCTGTCATAGCATGATACACACACATTGTATGGTTAGACATATGGTTATGATTTAAAAATGTTGATTATTCAGCATTGTTGTTGAGTAGTTCCTGATTTTATTCTTTGTATGAATAGTGTTGAGTGACGCTGCTTTTAGGTTGAGGTAACCAGAAAAAAAGAAAGCAGAACATCTAAAGTTATATTTTATAGTTCAAGTAGTTACTAAAAGCTAAAGCAGATAACTGCAGTTATATTTGCTGGAACTTTCAGTATATTCTGACAGTAGTACATGAGACACACAAAAAATCAGCTTCTTCTAGCTTGTCCTAGTGCTCCTAGGGCAAGAAACCACAAAAAAACAACAACCAGAGCTACGAAAGACAGTTGATTATTGAGTCTCATCATTGCCAGGAGACTCAACAACCCACACTGTTGGTATTCTACAACCTGGGACAATCAAATATCTTACTCATTAGTTGTTATTGTTCTTGCCAATGCTATAGGAGCACCATTTTGTCACAGATTATCTGTCTCATGTACTACTGTCAGGATATAATGAAAGTTTCAGCAAATCTGACAAAAAGTTTTTTTTTTTTTAAATGACCAACTGCATTTCTAAGCAGGTAATTCACCATCACCAAAAAACTCAATTAATCCGTGTAATTAGGTTGATGAAATGAATCAGAGAAATAATTTTGAAATTAACCAAAAAAACAAAAAACAAAAACAAAACAAAAAAAAAAGTCTTCAGCATCCCTTGGAAAACCCAGCGAAAACCCCCTGTAGGTGTAAAAGTAGCAGCCTGGTTTTAACAACAGATATATATTTTATGTTGTTTTTTTTCTAGTGGTGGAAGGATCTGCCATGTTGTTATATGTTATTTTATTTAAATAATATTCCATATTTCATATAGAATTGCTACATAAACAGCAAGTTAATGTCGCTGGTCAAGATGGAGCTAATTTTGAACTACCCTACACATGTGTGTATATGCTGGGTACTTCATACTATATACTAAGTTTTAATTTTTTAATAAGATGATCACATGTTTTGTATGTAAAAAGTTAATCTGTAAAATAATTATAGCTGTCAAATGAATGTAAGAAGTAAATAAAAATCAAAGTAGCATAAAATGAATATGAGCAATGACATGAGACAAACGATTGATTATCACATGACTTCCTAGCTCATCATCAGCGTGTTGACTTGATATGAAACTAATTGGCTGCTGCAGTTGCAGCTCTAGGAGTGTTTGGTCATACAGTATTTTGAAGTCTGCGGTAATGGAGTGTGGCAGTGTGTGTCAATAGTCTCTTAATTCTCAGTTTATCTGTGTAAATGTGAGCAAACCTGTGTGGAATGTGTGTTCGTCTCGGGGTTCACAGCCTGTAGCGATGGAAGCTGAGTGTGGGTGGAGGTGTGTTGGTCTGGAAGTCCCCTGGGTGTGCGCATGTGTGTTTGTGCATGTTTAAGTGTGTGTCTGTGTGTGTGTGGTGTGAGAAAAAGAGCACTGTGAATGATTACAGACGTTATGGCTTATGCCTTTTATGTTCTGTTTAAAGTATGGAAGAGTAAACATCACAATTTTATGTAGTAAAAAATAAAAGGGGGGGACTTTGTAGGGGACAATTAAAGCTTGCTTTTAATAACAACCAAGGCCATCATCAAACATGTCTTACATGGCGGTTTGTCTTTGTAGGGCTTGACTTCATGACATCAGTGCATTTGGAACGTTCTTTTGGTCAGGAAAATGCTTCAGGAAGAAAGTCCTCCTCTTTATTGCTAAATTTAGCTGCTGAGTTTGGAGAAAAGTGGTCAATAGTGATGTGGGCATCATTGTAATCTGTCAGAGTTATATGGTGTTTCACACAGAACCTCCTCTGAGTTACATTCTTCAGTTTCAGCAGCCGGTTTGCTCTGTATTTTGATGTTACAGTGTGTGGCTTCGGAGGATGCATGAAGGCAACTTTTACCCTGATTTGGTAGTTCCGTTTTTGTTTTGTTTTATTCCTTATCATTCAAGCTTCACTCTGTACCAAACTGTGTCTTGCATACTAAAATAGCTGCGCAATCCAAACCACTGTCCTCGACAGCCGAGAAGGGGAATACCTACTCTCTGATTCCCAGCAAATGAAATCACCTCCTGCTGACTGTTCATTTGAAATCCCCCTTTTATAACTCGTTTTAAATGGTTTTATTGTCCGCCTTTTTGTTTACTAAAGGATCGCTGTGCTAATGAGTCCGACACTTTGCACTTATTATTAATTATTATTCTAATTACAAGCATTTACACTGAATCTAGACAAATGCTTGCAAAATTGCAGCAACGGGACACATTCAAACCTCTCTTTCTCTGTCATTTCACATCAAAGAGCGTGCTACAGAAAAAAAAAAAATTTGTAGAGCACATTTAGTTGTTAAAATCCCATAGAGTAGTTTATGGTGAATTTCAGCCTCTTCAGTGCAGCCTTATGCACACACACACACACACACACACACGTCTATTGATAGTTTCTCAATGCTGCTAAGCAATTCTACACAATATGTGGTATTTCACCATGCTGTGATGAGTGGAAGCTCTGCCCTACTTGCACACTAGCCTTTCACATTGTTCTATTCTATTTTTTATTGCATCTGCCTGATGTTGTTTGTGTCTTAACCTACTGTAACACTTCCCAGATGATAAAATCATTAAACAGTTTTTAGACCTGTGGGGTCTCAGTGATCTTCACACCAATGTTAAATGGTACAACAGTTCAGCAAAGTTCTGTTATGGTTCAGTTTGACTCATGTATCCTGATATGACCTACACACTGATCTAGCCCTTCCTCCACCACTTTCAGACCGCACATTACATCAAAGGCACATCACGAACTTTGACTTTGGTTAAACACACACAATTCAGTATACCGTATTGCTGATAAAGCCTTTGTTATTATGGTGGCATTTTTGCTTTGAAGTCCTCTTGTCAGAACACTTTCCATGAGCAGAGGGATCACGACCAGACAGAGAGGGTTTTGTTTTATACTCCAGGTTACTTTTTAATACCCACATAATTGATCCATTCATTCAGTCGTAATATGCAGTTGGTCCTGAATTCTTTCTTCTTTACTCATCCTGCTTGTTTTCCAAAATACAGTAGAGGTAATAAGACTATGCTGAGGATGAATGAAATCATTT